GTTTATCTTTTATTGCTTGTTTGAAATCTGCCAAATGCTTGTCTTTAACTGGATTGCAAGTTTTGTACGACAATGATGTTTTTGCAACTGTTAAATCTTCTTGGAAAAGGGACGTTACAAACTTAGGGCCTAAGAATGTGGACTTAAAAGCTTTAGACGGTGAGTTCAGCTATAATTGATTGGTTTCTTTTACATAGACTAAAACCATAAATAAAACTAAATGAAATGAATTGATAGTACTTTTACAGAGCAGAACCCCTCGTAGAAAAACAAAGTTTCTTGTGATATCTTCAGACTGAAACCACTTCTAAAATTGAACTGTTGAAGCTTGGCGTAGTATTTATATCATGTAAGGTAAATTCCTTGAAGGAGGCGTATAACATAAGAGTGATTCTTCAATGTTAAAGTTTTGATTTTCAAATTTTACAAAAAATTACAAAAGGAATTATAGGTTTCCCACAAATTTTAGAAAACAGAAACTGACTATACCCTTATCGTGTTTTGATATTTAGATTGCATTCCTTGGTTACTGGTATTTCGGATTCATGGCTAATGGAAAAAATTTGCGCGTAATGCGTCTTTAGGTGGTTGTCGTAGTAGTTATTAATAGATGATAGATTGTCTTTTCGTAGACTGGAACAGTCGATGATATTTACTAAATCCTTTTTGGTAAATCTATCGGAAATCGGGTTGATAATGTTTCCGTCGTGTGTTACAACACAAACCCCATCAATTTCAACAATAAGAATGCCATATACTTCCATTTTTGTCATAAAGAATGATGTTCTACTTTCAAAAATTTGCAAATTGTTTCAATTAATTTATAATATATCACAATTGTTTTCTAAATTCCTCAAAACAAGAAAATCAAAATTTCAGCTTTGAAGAAAAACTCCTACAGACATCGATTCCTCATAGTAAATAATCTACATGAGATGAATATCACACATTGAACCTCAATACATGAATTGTAAGCACGGTTCCAGTCTGATAATGTCACGCGAAAACTTTTCTATGGACTAATTGTTTTTTCGCAATGTCAAAGTTCCAGTCTGTACACACTTTGTCAGGGTTCCAGTAGCAAATCTCTTTACCTTCTTTTTGTACTGTATAGCGCATTAAGTAATTTTTTTGTTTATTTGTTTGGGGTTCAAAAGTAAACAAAACCACGATACCAGTTTTTGTATGGGTTTGTCGCGCTTCCACCCATTTGAAGGGTATATAAATAACTGCAAAATAATCTTGGTTATATACAAAAAAAAAATTTCTCTCTGATCAACGGAAATATATTGCTAATTTCATATATTTCCATGAATTAAAAAATTTAAATAAAATAATCAGTCGTCATCCTGCTTTCAGATTATTCGAAATTTTGCAAATTATAAAAGATATCGTCAAAATTAAAATCAAAGTTTCCACTGGGGTTTTGTAAATGATCCAAAAACTCCAGCCTAATGCCGAAATTTTCATCTGAGAAAGAAAAAGCCTTCAATGGTCTCGGATAGTTCTCCATATCTATCCAATGTTTAGGAATAATAGTATCACTGAACTCATACCTAAATCCTCCTTTATAATGACTTGAATCTGGTCCAATTACTCCAAAATTCGTGTTGGCTCTATAATACTTTATTAATGCACTCCTTAATATGTCATTTTCAACCCTCTGTTCTTCATTAATCAAATAACTCCCATTGAAGATATCAATATTGGAACATAAAATATCAGGCAACATGCTCTTAACTTGTTTTATACCATCCTCGCAAAGTGAAAAATACAATTCTGCCTGTGAAGAATCAATCCGAAAATAATCAACGCTCATATTTGATGAAAATCCAGTACCAAAAATCAGATTATATAGATACCTATGAGCTTTAACAATCTGTAATGAATAGCAATACCAAGATGATAATAATGATCCCAAAGATATACATAGAGACAAACAATCCAGTAAGATATTGAAAAAATAAAAACTACTGATACCTTTTTCATATTCATTTCCAGTAATATTACTCTCCGATCTCGAATATTTTACTCGAATAATAAATGACAACAATATAATGTTTATCCTTTGAATCGAGCTTTCAATACTTGGAATAACAATAAAGCTTACTAAACTATCGGAGAAAATAATGCCGTAGAAGTTCACAATTAGATCAAATATGATAATTGATAATGTCTTCTTCATAAAAACATGGCACATCCTTTTAGATTTTGCTTCTTCACAATGTAGAAACAATAAATAGATTATACACATTAAGCATGATTTTATGTCAAAATAAATCATCGTTTTAATACTTCTGGTCAAAGCGACATTGGGTATAATACCCAGTTTATCAACTTCTGAATTAATAGCCAATGGAGAATACAAGTACGAGGACTCAATTTCGGATATAATAACTAGAATGTCTTCCACACTAGATTTAACTCGGATATCTACCAATAACATAAGAATATCTTTTAGGGGGAATAATTGCAGCCAAAGTAATTCTAAAATATTCACTGAGTACTTCTCAAGATTTATATCCATTATATTGGTTGCATCATTAAAGAATGTAGGAAATTTAACGTCATATTGACTAGAATCAATAATAAAAAACCCACCAGATACACATGTTTCATGTATGTCCCAAATTATCAAAATGTACCATAGCTTACGGATCAAATGACAATAGTCCTTATAATCCTTAAAGTTAGAGATTAGAGTAGGCTCTCTATTGACTCCTAAAGATATGGCCAATTGAATTATTGACGCTAGCGAAAGCTCTGTATCATACTCATCCATTCCACCAGAGTTTTCAGGAGAATATCTAAGGTAGAATTTGTACACCATTTGAAGTTGAAGAACTTCGATAGTAGTTTTCCTGCTTGTAATGAAATAGCTGAGGCATTTTTTTGCTAGAATTATATGCTTATAAGACTTTAGTACTTCTTCTTCGTTTATCCACTGAGGTATTTTTCCATCAATAACACCCCTAAAACATTTTAAAGGTGATGCCTCATATTGAAAAGAAAAAGATAATCTCATCAATATCAACAAAATACCGATAACAGCAATATCAGTGTTCTTTTCAATTTTTATTTGCCATTTTGTAGTACTTGTTTCTTCTTCTCTCTTAAGTATTCTCCCAATATCCTTTTTGAATTGTAATTCGTCAATTATGGGCAATAAAGGATATATATTCGTAAAAAATATATTTATTAAATTCCAAGTTATTTCGTACAGAGGTAATGCATTATTAAGCTCTCTAGAAAACTCCTTTGATGAACAATTTTCTATGTCTGAAATTAGAGTTCTGCTTGAATAACTTTCTTCATCTAAATGAATGATGTGTTTCAAATCTTTTGGTAGTTGTCCACTTTGAGTTTTTTCTGAAAAGCTTTTCGAATTTACTTTTTGCAAATCAAAAAAATTTCTCAACACGTATTGTTCAAGTGAGGATAATATGGGATCTGATTTCATTATGCTTACCCATGTAAAGGGTCCATAATTCATTTGCATAGACTCTCTTACGTTAATTGAGGAATATTTTTCATACATATTAAAGTTTGGAATACTATGCATACCATTCTCATTTTTAATATTACTTGCAAACCTTCGACTTGATAACTTATTCTTTTGATAAGACCTCTGAATGATAGTTTCAATCAGATTACGTTCATTTTTTTGGGAATCTTTTATTCTCTTATTCTTCCTTATATTATCGTTTGATTCTTGGTATTCACATTTAACATTAGCACGCAAACATTCACGACACGGTATCTCTCTATTACATTTCTTCTTCCTCTTTCTACAAAATAGGCAGACCTTACTTGAACGATTCCTTGTTAATCGAGCTATACTTTTTGGACTATGCAGAAATACATTCAGCAGAAAACTGAGAAGGATTTTCAGAGGCAATTTGTAAATTGTCTTTATCTATCAAAAAAACACCCTGGCCCCTCTTCTTATTAGTAATAAAATTCAAAATTTATAACTTTTAATATTTATACTAGTAAAAATGAACCTTCTGTAAGTTTCACTTAAATAACTCAAAATATACAGATGAAACCTTATCCTATTCTATGTTAAACTACCGATTCTAAGTACTCTTTAAAGTTAAAGAACTTTCAGTAAATCATTTTTACTTCATTTTGATAAATTGAATGCGTCCTCTGTAAATGATCGTGGGCATAACCTTTTTTTTTTATCGTCCCACCAATCGGAGAATTCCA